TATTCTATTCTATTCTATTCTATTCTATTCTATTCTATTCTATTCTACCGTGTTTCTCATATAATAAGGCCGGGTCTTATTTTTTTTTGAGCCCCGAAAAAATGGCTAGGCTGTCTTTTCGGGGGTGACTTAATTTCCCCCCCTTTGCATCTTCGGGCGGGCGGCGACGGCTTGGATGTTGACCTCGGTGTTGGTGGGGCACTTCGTATTGGGGTCAACCCAGGCAGCACCATCTCCGGGTGCGCAACAAAAGTACTTCCTAACGGCAAGCCCCCCCCACCATTCCCCCCCATTTCGCATGGTTTAATATAGGCCTTAATTTGGGGGGAGGGGCTTAATTTCATTTCATGCCTATAAAACATGCTGGGACTTCCTATTGGGGGAGGCTGTATTGTTGGAGAAACAGGGTATTCTATTCTATTCTGTTCTGTTCTATTTTATTTTCTATTCTAATTCTATTCTATTCAATTCTAATTTGTATTCTATTCTATTCTAATTTGTATTCTATTCCATTCTATTTTCTATTCTATTCTAATTCTATTCTATTCTAATTCTAATTTGTATTCTATTCTAATTTCTATTCTATTCTATTTTCTATTCTAATTTGTATTCTATTCTATTCTATTTTCTATTCTATTCTAATTCTATTCTATTCTATTCTATTTTCTATTCTGTTCTAATTTGTATTCAATTCTATTCTATATTCTATTCTAATTCTATTCTAATTTCTATTCTAATTTCTATTCTATTTTCTATTCTATTCTATTCTATTCTATTCTATTCTATTCTATTCTATTCTATTCTATTCTATTCTATTTTCTATTCTAATTCTAATTCTAATTCTAATTCTATTATTTTCTATTTTATTTTCTATTCTATTCTAATTCTATTCCAATTCTATTCTATTCCAATTCTGTTCTATCCTATCCTATCCTATTTAGTTCAGCTGATTCGCGCGGCAGAGCGGAATTGCCGCGCCTCAGCTGAGCTAAAATGCCACTCAGCTTACCAACATTTGAAAGAGGTCGCTCTTTGAGTCCTTAACGCCCGTGCAAAGAACCGTGCATAGAACCAGGGGTAGGATTCAAATTTTTTTAACAACTGGTTCTGTGGGCGTGACTAGGTGGGCGTGGCCACGTGACTGGGTGGGCGTGGCTTTAATTTTTTGCAGCAAACCTCCCCCCATGGAGCGCCAGAGTATGTTTGTGTGTGTGTGTGTGTGTGTGTGTGTGTGTGTTGCCCGCCCGCCTCCATTTTTTGCCTTTCTGGGCCCCAGGGAAGCCTCCTGGGCGAAGCAGTAAGACAGCTAGGGGGGTCCCAGCACAGCTGATCATAGGAACAGCTGATCGTCGGGAGGGGAGAAAAAAGGAAATACCTTAAGGAGTGACTGGGCGGAGGAGAACACAGTCAGTGATGTTGGGCATGCGCACGCGATATTGCACATGCGCTGTAAGGACTGACTTGGGAGGGGCGGGCAGAGAGGCACGGGGCCAGCCAGGGGCAGATTTGCCGGCTCTCCGAACTGCACAGAATCCTAAAAACCAGTTCTATAGAACCGGTCCAAACCGGTAGAATCCCCCCCCCGCACCGCGCATAGAACCGGTAGGAAACAAGTTGGAAACCCACCACGGCTTCCAGCCTCATCTCCCCCAAAGTGTGTTAATCCTGCCGAGACGGTTCGGGCGCGCGACTGTCTTACCCACAATGTCATTTCTCATCAGCTCCGTCACGGGTATTGGTTTAGCAGCATCGGGAGAAATATATTTGGTAAAAATGGTCACTGCATCCTGTTCAATACCTGGGGAAAGAGAGAGAGAGAAAGAGAGAAAAATCTGAGGTCGCAGCGAGTTTGGAGAGTGTAAAAAAACGGAAAAAAAAACAAAGATTCACCCGTTTGCAAAAAAACTTCCGCAGTGAGTAATTGGAGGTTAATTTTGTTTTCGAGAAGGGAGGAAGAGTTGCACAATCCCGCCTAAGAGGAAAACTGAACAGGGATCTTTGTCGGTGAAAAGGAAATCTCCTTTGCCCCAGAAATAAGTCACTAATTGCTTCTGAAACCCAGAGCCTTCAAGAAACAGATCTACCTCCCCTCTTGAACGATTTACAGGGAGTCCTCGACTTGTGGCTGTAAATTGAGCCCGCAGTTGCGCCCAAAATTGTACCCCCTAACTGAATCGACAAAGCCGCGACGGATGGTAGTAAAATAATGGTCCTGTCACATGGCCCTGTCTGTTCCCCGCTTGCTTACTCTCTCTCTTGCCATATCTAACAAAATGAAATTCAATGTAGAGAAAAGTAAAGTCCTACACTTAGGCAAGAAAAATCCAAAGGTCACATATAATAGACTGGGTGAAACCAGGCTCAATAGCAGGAACTGGGAGGGGGATCTTGGAGTCTTAGTGGGCAACCTGCTAAATAGGAGCCAGCCGTGTGCAGCAGCCGCCAAAAAAGCCAATGCAATCCTAAGTTGTATTAACAGAGGGATACAATCAAGATCAAGGGAAAGTACTAATACCACTCTATAAATCCTTAGTAAGACCACACCTAGAGTACTGCATCCAGTTTTGGTCACCACATTATAAAAAAAGATGTTGAGGCTCTAGAAAAAATACAGAGAAGAGCAACCAGGATGATTAGGGGACTGGAGGGTAAAACATACAATGAATGATTGCAGGAACTGGGCCTGGCTAGTCTAGGGAAGAGAAGGACCAGGGGAGACAGGATAGCAGTCTTCCAATATTTGAGGGGCTGCCACAGAGAGGAGGAAGGGGTCAAGCTATTCTCCAAAGCCCCTGAAGGCCAGATAAGGAATAATGGAAGGAAACAGATCCAGGAGAGATTCAGCCTGGAAATAAGGAGAAACTTTCTGACTGTGAGAACAGTCAACCCATGGAACAGAAATTGCCTTCGGAAGTTGTGGGAGCGCCATCACTTGAGACCTTCAAGAAGAGCTTGAACTGCCATTTGTCAGAAATGGTGTAGGGTCTCCCACTTGGGTGTGGGGTTGGACTAGATGACCTATAAGGTCCCTTCCAACTCTTGATTATCAGTTATCTTGTAATCCCTTCTTCTCCAATTTCCACACTCCCTGATGGGAAGAAACACCAACAGGTCAGACACGGGACAATGTATACAGGTGGCCCGCGACTTACGACAGTTCATTTAGTGACCGTTGAAAGTTACAATGGCAGGAAAATTGAGACATTTGGCAACTGACTCATATTTAGGACGGCGGCAGTGTCCCGGGATAGCGCAATCTCCTTTTGCGAACTTCGGACAAGCAAAGTCAGAATTCACTTCACAAAACTGTGTTACTTAAATGAACAACTGCAGTGATTAACAACGGTGGCAAGAAAGGTCATCAACGGAGGCCAAACTCACTTAACTGTCTCTCTTAGCAACAGAAATTTTGGGCTCAGTGGTGATCGTAAATCGAGGACCTCCTTTCTATGTTTTCAAACCAGGAACTACCCTTCATGCTACAAATCTTCCTTTACTTCTAAACTTCTTTAGCTGAGCCTTGCAATGCAAGGTATCCATCATTCCGGAAGAGACGCCCTGTGACGTTTAACAAATTAACAACAAATTGTGAATGATGAACAGGGGGAACCGGAGGAAGGGATCGACGAAACTGAGATTTAGGATTACATGCACAGCACAAGTTTCTCTTGGGAGCCAACATTTCTTCCTTTTCCAGTTTGCAATCCTGGATTTGGAAGCTTGGCTGCAAACAAACCGGGGATTTTGGCTTCAGTTTTGTTTCCACAAGCCGTGGACCACCTGTAGGTCCTTAAAAATGAAGATGACCCTGGAAGCTACGGGTTGTCCTCGACTTACGACCACAATGGAGACCAGAATGTACGTTGCTAAGTGAGAAATCAGTTAAGTGAATTTTGCCCCATCTTACGACTTTTCTTTGCCGCGGTTGTTACGCGAATCCCTGGGGTTGTTCAATTAGTAACAGAGTTGTTGTTAAGTGAATCTGGCTTTTCCCATTGACTTTGCTCGCCAAAAAGTCCTAAAAGGGGATCAAATGAACCTGTACAGTGCAAATTGTCAAGGATCCGAAGGCAAATCACGCGACGGTGAGGATGCCGCAATGGTCATAAGTGAGAAAACGGTCCTAAGTCACTTTTTTTCAGTGCTGTTGTAACGTTTTGTTCCCATCAGGGAGTGTGGAAATTGAAGAGGAAGGGATTGCAAGAGAGTAAGCAAGTGGGGAACAGACCGGGCCATGTGATAACCTATTTCACCACAGTCGTGGTTTTGTACAGTCACTAAGTGAACTGTCGTAAGTCGAGGACTACCGGTATACATTGCCCTGTTTCTGACCTATTGGTTTCTCTTCCCATCAGGGAGTGTGGAAATGTGGAGAGGAAGGGATTACAAGAGAGTAAGCAAGTGAGGAACAGACCGGGCCATGTGATAACTTATTTCACCACGGCTTTGTACGATCACTAAGTGAGTTGTTGTAAGTCGAGGACCACCCGTACTTGGAGAGACCGTGGATCGGCCTTACCTTTCATGAGTTTTCCTGACAAGTCCTTTAGTGCAAAGGAAGGACTGTTTCTATTGGACGCGGAGACCATGGAAGCATCTGGAAGGTCACCCGGAACAGGACAGTCCTCGTCTTCTGACGGGGTCAACCCCAAGTGGGGTTTGTCACCGCCTTGGCCAAGCAGCAAGTGGTTCCGAAGAGTCCAAGTGGACCGGTTCCAATGGGCCAAAGAGGGTTCGGCGGGGCACCGGTCGTCCAGTCCTCCGTTGAGCGACTCGCCGAAGGGGGGAAATCCGGGGGGGTCTTGTGGCTGCTGCTGCGGGCCAGGGGACACCGGCTCGGCCAGGGAGCTGTGCTTCACCGTGTTTAAGCTGTGTGCTCTGATGTGGGACCAGGTGGTGGAGCGGAAAGCCTCGGCTTCCAGCCAGAATCGGACCAAGTGTTCCATGCGGTGGAGCTCCATGTACTGGGTAAAGTACGGGAGGGCCACGGGGTTGCGCAGGACTTGCGCCAGCGTCTTCGAAAGGCTTGACTTGGTTTCTTGAGCTTGGTAATCCAGGCAGGAGCGGCCTAGAGAAAGCAGAGAGGGTGAGTGAGTGAGTGAGGAAGGGGATGCTGGGGAGAGACTGTTCCGACCCAGCTCCCCAAATACGACACACCCTCGGAAGTTAACTGAAAAGATTCCTTTATTAGGAGCGCCGGCAGCCCCGGTAAGATGTTTCTCTCACCTCAGGCTAACAAGTCCGTCCTGTAGGGGAGATAAATAGTTGTCTGCCACATCTATTCATTTCCGCCTTTTATCCCCAGTGCTAGGGTGGGGGCTTCGCTAGCAGCGGTGGCTCTTCCGTCCCAAGGACCGGCCCATAGATTTCCACTGCTCTCCTCTCCTCGGCCTTCTGCACATCAGGCACTGGACCCAGCTGTTCCTCCTCTTCCTGATCGGCTATTAATATTTATATGTTCAGGTTTTAAGTCGGGGGTGTCAAACTCAAGGCTCTGGGACCTGGATTCAGCCCACGGGGTGCTTACTTCAGGCCTGTGGGGGCTGCCCTGGAAAAAGTGAAGGACTGACCTGCGGTGCTTCCGCCAGTGAAAACAGAGCTCGAGGGCCACGCATGCCTCCCCCCAGCTCTGTTTTCGCTGACAAGAGGGTTGCGGGAGGCCATCGCAGCTGGAAATGGAGCTCGGGTGTCCGTATTTGCTGGCAGAGCCGCTCAGGCCGCCAAAGGTGTCCCTGACATGCGTGACGAGCTGGCCATGCCCATCCTGGCCCCCCCAAGGTCAAACATAATCCTGATGTGGCCCTCAATGAAATAGTGTTTGATGTCCCTGTTTTAAGTCCATTACTTATACACTGTACCGTTTCCCCGAAAATACGACCTACCCTGAAAGTAAGTCCTAGTTTGATTTTTACATGTACACCCAATATAAGCCCTACCCCCCCCCCCAAAAAAATAAGCCCTAATTAAAGATCCTGCCCACTCCAGAGTGGACGGGTAAAAATTAAGCTAGGGTGGGGATGAGGGAGGTGGAGCTGCCCTACTACTTACCTTTGGACAGGTGTAGCCAGGCCTCGCACACCCTGAAACCTGCTTTGCCAGCCCATTTCTTCTGCAGCCGGCAAGGCTGGCAAAGCCTTCCTGAAGGCCTCTGGAGCTGAGAACAAAGCTCAGGGTCGATCCAGAGCTCTGTTACCGGCTGCGGAGGCCTTCAGGAAAGCCTTGCCGGCCGCAGAAGAAGAAGTTCCTGAAGGCCTCTGACCGCGAAAAGGAGGGCGGGGTTGACGCGCGCAAGTGAGGTTAGTCAGTGGATGGCATCCCCCCAAAATAAGACCTGATAGCTTTTTTGGTGGCCAAATATATATATATATATATATATAAGACAGGATCTTATGTTTGGGGAAACACGATCTATAGCATATCTCTGTGTTATATATGTGTCCCCTTTGGAGAGCAGGCCACAGAATTTTTATTTTTAAGGTGTGCCAGGAAAAAAAAAAAAAGACAATAAAGGTAATCTTATAAAAAAGGGACCAGGCTCACCCAGGTCTCCAAAATGGGCAGCTTCCATGTGGCTGGGCTGCTTCTTAAGGGCGGCTGTGCGACTGCTGCAGGAATCCATGTTGGCCGAGATGGCGTTGATCGCCACGTGGCTTGGTCCGGCGGCCTCGAGCAAGGCATGGTTCCTGGTGCCTTTCTGCGGAGAACATCCTGGTGCTGCCGTTGGAAAGGGAAACCACAAGGTGAGGCTGCTTTCGCGAGCTAAAAACCTGGGTTTTTAGAGGAGGCCGGATCTCCTCTCCGGGTTGTATAGACAGGTGGTCCTCAACTTAAAAACCACAATTTTGAGCCAAACATTTCCGTTGCGGGGCGAGATAGTTGAGTGAATGTTACCCCGTTTTATGACCTTTCTGGCCGCCGTTAACTTAGTAAAACAGTCGTTCAGGGGATCTGGTTTCCCCTTTGACTTCGCTTGTAAGAAGGTCGCAAAAGGAGATCACCTGACCCAGGCACACTGCAACCGTCGTAAATGTGAGTCGGTTGTCAAGCATCCGAACGTAAATCACGTGACCATGGGTGTGTGTGTGTGTGTGCAATGATCATAAGTGGGGGGAAACGGTCCTAGGTCACCTTTTACACTGCCTTTGTAACTTCGTAACAGTCACTGGATGAACAGTTGTTGGTTCTTGAGTTATGTTAGCAATTTGGACCAAACTTTCTGTCACTAAGTGGTACGGTCACAAAGCACCACCGATGGAAATCCCCGATTTTCTAAATACATCAGCAGGGGAGGTTTGCAAATGGTGATCAAGGGATTGAATCTCCCTATAAAAATCCAGAGACTCACATGCCATACATTAAAATTAATCGTATTGAAGACTAGCCAGCCCTTCCGTATTACTATTCTTCTTCTCATCCTTCCTAGTACCTATCTCTCCCCACTTATCAGTATCACCGTGTTGCTTGTATCTTTACAATTGATAGTATTTTGTTTGTTCCCCAGTATGATTTGATTGCTTATTTAGTATGAGTATCACTAAATGTATCTTATGATTCTTGATTAATATATATATTTTTATGGACACTGAGAGCATATGCACCAAAGACTAATTCTTTGTGTGTCCAATCACACCTGGCCAGTAGAGAACTCTATTCCCTTCTTCTGAATCTATGAATTATAAAAAGAATTATAAACAGAAATGAGGTAATTTCATTTCCTTCCACTTCCTGCTGTTGTATTCATGCAACAAAGGCAATGGGAGTGATTAAGTCAGTGTTTTTTTTCAACCGTGGCAACTTTCAGAGGTGTGGACTTCAACACCCAGAATTCCCCAGCCACCCACATGAAGACTTTGTAATAAGGCAGTTAAGAAGAAATTAGTTTTAATGGGCCGAAGATAATTAGCACATGAAGGCTGGGCCAATATAGTTGGTTTGAGGAATAATGGGGTAGTTATTTAGTTCTTTTTTGTGTGTGTGTAACCCAGAAGAGGAAAAAACTAGTTTCCTTCAGGTTGGCAAAGAAATATTAAAATATTTTGCCATCCTACGACAGTATATTTAGTCTTTTAGTGACTGTTTGAAGTTACGAGACTGAAAAAAGCGACTTATGACCATGTTTCACATTTACGACTGTTGTAGCCTCCCTGTAGTCACGGGATCAAAAGTCAGATGCTTGGCCACTGACTCCTATTTATGACGGTCACACTGTCCCCTTTTGCGACCTTCTGACAAGCAGAGTCAATAAGGGAAGACAGATTCACTTCACAAACTTAACTGTAACGGTTCACTTAACGACTGCGACGAGAAAGGCCGTAAAATGGGACAGAGCCCAAATTAATAAACATGCCCCTGGGTGGAGACTGACTCTGAGGGAGAGGAGGAACAGCCGACAGGGAGTGGAAGTGGGGCTCCGGAGGTTGTGGAGGAGGCTGGGGAAGGGCAGAGGCCGGCTGGGCGGTCAGAGGAGGACCCAGGCCCATCCCTTATCCATCCTAGGGCATGCAGGGAGGAGAGGATAAGGGAGAGGCGTGGGTGGCATGGTCTACGGGGGAGGAAAGGGCCTTGATCCTCTTCATGGGCTGCAGCTGTGACAACTGCATAAGAGTTTGGACCTGCATACTGGCAAACACTGGAAACAAAGCGTGTGTTATTTTGGGCTGAAGTTATCTTGGTTGGCGTCCTTCCAACAGACTGTGCCTTCTTATCTCCTTGAATTTGGTAAATACTTCTCCTGTTCCACTGTGGAAATTTCGTCATGGTAGTTTGTTTGGTTTTTTATTTCACCTCTATCTGCTCATTAAGTTCGGACTGTATTGCTTTCTTTTGAAGACTATTTTTGAGTACGTCTTATCTCCAACTGAGAATTATTGAACAGTGGGGCCAAGTTGGAGGCATTAAAGGACATTTATTTAACCTTTTGGATTTTGTTACGTTTGTGTTACACTCTGGGTCATCACAAAACATCTCACTTAGCAGCAGAAATTCGGGGCTCAATTGTGGTCATAAATCGAGGACTACCTGTGTCTGAAAGGAAGAGGCTTGGAGTAGAGTTAGCCCTCGAGGTACAACCACCCATTACCACAGAACTGAGAAACTGACTTCTGACCGGTCCCCACACTTATGACCACTGCAGCACCCTTATGCTCACGTGTTCAAAACTTGGGCGCTTGGCAACCGACTCGTATTTATGAAGGTTGCAGTGTCCCATGCGATCATAGCTTGTTTCTGACAAACCCAGTCAACGCGGGGAGCCGATTTGGGGGGTTCACTTAAGAACAGCAGCGATTGGCAAAAAGCAGGCCGTAAAATTGGATGCGACTCATTTAACAACCGCGCTGCTTAGTGATGGAAATTCTGTTCCCGATTATGATTGTAAATCGTGGGCTGCCTATAAAGGAGATTTGGGAAGGTCATTTAAGTGGAATCTCCTAACCATAAAAGGTTATGAACGTTTGCAGAAACTGAGGGCGGTTCAGACTGAATCTCTAATTCCTGGGAAATTCAGGTTTTCTGGAATGATGGGACCTCTTACCAAAATTGCCGGGCATTGGAGCCAGTCCAGACTCTGCAAATATGAAAGGAAAGCAGTTAAATTTTTGCTGAGGGTGTGAAATGTGACAGAAATGTGATACAGTGCCCACCCCGCATAACTTTAGAAGCCCTTGTAGAATTTAGTCAGCGTATTCAAGGTCAAACCCAGGTAAAATTAGATAATTTATGAGACCCTCTGCGCAAATCTGAATGTCGGGGTAAAAAAAAAAAGAGAGAGATAATGGCTTGAAAAATTAATTGAGGCAGAAAGAATGCAAGTGTTGAATGCAAGTGTCCTTGTGCAGTAAGGGCGTTATAATATTGATCAGGAGTGGAGGGAAATGGCCCTTTTATGACTTGTGGACTTCAACTCCCAGAATTCCTGAGCCAGCATGGGGAACAATATGTCTCCTGGTGATTGGCCCAGAGTCACCTAGTTGGCTTTCATGCCTAAGGCGGGACTAGAACTCACCGTCTCCTGGCGATTGGCTCGAAGTCACCCAGACGGCTTTCATGCTTAAGGCGGGACTAGAATTCACTGTCTCCCACTTTCTAGGCTGGTGCTTAAAACTCTAGATTGAAGTAGCTGCGACTGTTTAATTCTACTTAACTCTTAATTAAGTTTCAACTGCTGAACCACCCATGTGGTTACGTGATTTGCATGTTGGGCGTTTGGCAATTGGCTTGCATTTACAACCCATGGCCAAAAACATCCAGTGGATACACTGGATTTGGACTTGTGACCTTGCTTAGTAGTCAGAGTGACTTGCCATAAGAAGAACGGTTGTAAAATCAAACCCAGTCATGAAATGATTTGACTTGACGACTGTAATGAATTACTAGCAAAATTCCAAGCTCAACTGTGGTCAAAAGTCGAGGACCACCTGTACTTAAAGCGGGGGCTCCCCAAACTTGGCAACTTTTAAGACTTGTGGACTTCCATTCCCAGAATTCTCCAGCCAGCATCGTTGGGAATTGGTCCACAAGTCTTAAAAGTTGCCAAGTTTGGGGACTTCTGACTTATAAAGAGTGGAGAGACACGAGGTTGGAGTCGTGCACATTTTAAAAAAAAGGCTGGCCATCCAAAGCATTTAAGAGCATTTGCATTGCATGGCAGCTGCAGAGAACTGAACCACCAGCCAAGTGGAAAAGAGAGGATTTACCTTTAATCGCCCTGGCTTCTGCTGGCTTCTGCTGCTCTCTGCCTCTCACTGCAAGGACACAAGAAAAGCTGGATTTAGCGATGGAGGAAACACTTAGGAACACCCTTGCAGATACCTGGGAAACACACGCAAAAGACGGACAATATCCCACAGACCCTCCGCAACAAAGAGGGCGAAATGCAGTCCACGCACAAAATAAAACCCACAGGTCAAATCAGAAGAGGACAATACTAAACAGACAGTGATAAGTGGAAAAGATAAAAAAAAAAAAACCAATAACACAAGAGGACTTCAGTGCTAGGTCGTCAAAGAACACAGCAGTACAAGTCAGATTATTAAAAGTAGATTGTGCTTTTCTCAGACTTGGTCACTTTCAGAGGAGTGGACTTCCACTCCCTGAATTGCCCAGCCAGCGTCTTGCTGAAGTTGAGAAACATTAATCTAATAAACCACCAGCGCATCAAATCTGTATCATTCAGCAGCCGCTCCCAAAAAATCTTGTGAAGGGCCTCCTCACAAGCCTGTTATTTATTTAAGAAGCTAACTTGGGACTATCTTAAGCTATGCTACACACTTTCTCCCATTTTGCTAAAGAAGTTTGCTAAAGAAAGAGACAGAGGGAAGGAGGGAGGGTGGGAGGAAGAGAGAGAGATGAGATAGACAGATAGAGATAGAGATGAAGGAGGGAGGGAGAGGGAGAGAGAGAGGAAGAGAGATGAGATGGAGGGAGGGAGGGAGAGGGAGAGGGAGAGAGAGAGAAATTCTGTTCCCTTATATCATTTCCCCATCCTATAAACACGACCCTGAAGTCTTTAAAGAAATTTGGGCTGAATTTTCCTCCTCCTGCTTCCTCCCTCTTAACACCGTACCACTCCAGATCGTAAGGCTGTGCACTGGTGCTTCTCTTCTTTCAATTCAGTTTCCAAACCTGAGCTGGAAGATTTGGGGAGGGGAGGGAGGAGATGCCAAAAACGTAAATAACAAAGCAAGATTATACAGGTGTCCATTGCTGACCATCTCAAGATAGCAACTTCGCTCCTGACATGGGGGCGGCTGTACCAACCCCACTCCTTACTTTGGACATCACCAGCTGTTCTAGCTTTCCAAACACCTGGAGAAAAAGCACCTGGGACGTCTAGTACAGGAGCGAGAGGCTTCACGGCTTCCGTCTGCGGACAGATTGTTTGCAACGGAAATGAAGACCACAAATGCTCCTAAGTGGCCTTGAAGTTTTCCAACTGTCACCATTCCGAATGACCAACTGAATTATGTCCATTCTAGGAGGTCATAAGGAGTCCAGAGTTTTCCTCCTCCCTTCTAACTCTGCTTTCCTTTTGTGTCCAGACTTTTATGACCAGAATTTCAAGGACATATTTTTTTTTAAAAAAAAATACATCCCTCTCCAGAAGCTTCGGGAACCGAAGTACAAAGATAAAACTGCTTGAAAACGCAGGGATGTCCTTTTTGAATTGGCTTTGAGTCTTTTTTTTTTCAGAAATAGCAACCAGCGAAAGTCTTAAGCATTTCATTTTCATTCATTTTATTGATTAGCCCTTGGGCCATTTCGAAGTGCAGAGTTCCAGAAACATACATACATACATACATACATACATACATACACATACACACACACACACACACACACGTGTGTGTGTGTGTGTGTGTGTGTGTGTGTGTGTGTGGTATACAGATGACTTACCCTCTGGAATAAGACACCCCTGATACTGCTCAGGTGTGCTCGCGCCTTAAAACGGCTTCTACTGGACAGCACAGTGGAGTTAGCATGGTAAAGGCTTCACAGTACTCCACAAGGGGGCTCCCGACAGATGACTTACCCTCTGGAAACAAATATTGTGTGGGTAAGACACCCCTAACGCCCTCGGGGTGTGAGTGTGTGCCTCAAAATGGCTTCTACTGTACAGCACAGTAGAGTTGCCATGGTAACGGCTTCACAGTACTCCGCAAGGGGGCTCCCGACAGATGACTTACCCTCTGGAAACAAATATTGTGTGGGTAAGACACCCCTAACGCCCCTCGGGGTGTGTGTGTGTGCCTCCAAATGGCTTCTATTGTACAGCACAGTAGAGTTGCCATGGTGACGGCTTCACAGTACTCCACAAGGGGGCTCCCTCTAGTAAGGTCCCCTCAGCTTCAAGCAGAGGGCAAGTTGTCTGGGGAGGTGCCTGCTAATGCAGATAATCACCTCAAAGGCTGTTCCCTGTAGAATTTTTCCAAGGTTGTTGGCCAGGACAATTAGGTCTCTCATTCTCACCACAGTGGTTGAGGTAACCGGGCCAGGCCCAAGCCGCCTCCCAGGAAAGGTCAGGTGATTGGCCAAGTCCTTTGTCGGGTATAGAATGGAATCTCCCATATCTGAGCCTTGTCTTAAGCAATTTAAAAAAAAAAAAAGGATAATTCTCAGAAGGCAAGATTGAAATAATGACCGGTGTATGCAAATATTTGCGGCTACGTAATGGTCTCTGTGTTAAGTAGGAAGGAGAAATGCTCTTCTGGCTTCAAATTTTATTTTATTCTGCTTTACGGATAGAACTGACTTACAACCATTTTTTTAGTAACTGGTTGAAGGTACAACGGGCACTGAAAAAAGTGATTTACGACTGTTTTACACACTTACAGCAGCCCCCGTGCTCACGTGAGCAAAATTCAGAGGTTTGGCAACTGGCATGTACTTATGACTGTCACAGTGTGCAGAGGCCCTTTAGTGACCTGGGAAGCCAGATTCACTTAACAACGGGCTGACTAACTTAACAACTGCAGCGATCCGCTTAAGAACCGTGGCAAGGAAGGTTGCAAAACGGAGCAAAAGTTACTTTACAATGGTCTCACTTAGAGACGGAGATTTGGGGCTCAACTGCGGTCGTTAAATCGAGGACTAACCGTAATGAAGTTTACGTTAAAAGTCATGATGAAATGGTCTGAGGGAACGACCTTGGGAGACAGGGAGGAAGAAGCACCCCAAATGTGATCACGTGACCACAAGGGGGAAGGTGTCAGAACTTCAAATTCGGGATGTAAAACTGCGAAGCAACTCGAATGTAAGTCGAGGACTAACTGTATGTGTCAAATTCAACTCATGAAGATTTGTATGGACACCTCTGGATCAAATTTCGGGGAAATTTGGAGCGGTTTTCTTCTGCCTTTTGCAGAGATATTTTTTACTTTTCAGTTACATACGCTAAATAATAAATTCACTTACATTCCTGGGTTATCCTAGCTCCGTGATGGCGAACCTGTGTCATGCGTGCCGGAAGTGGCACACACAGCCATCTCTGCCAGCATGCAAGCTGTCGCCCCAGCTCAGTTCCACTGTGCGCATGCGCTTCCCGCCAGCCAGATGATTTCCGGGTATCTGCCGTGCATGCGTGGGTCTCATGCGGGAGACGTGCACGTGCATTGCATTAATGGATGCAGGTATGCGTGCACACACTCTTGGCATGCGACGACAAAAAGGTTAGCCATCCCTGTCCTAGCTGTTTCCCATCCAAGGGGGGTTAATCCTACTTGATTTGCAAGATCGCCTCAAATACAAGCAGTCCTTGACTGACAGCAGTTCGTTTAGTTACAACGGCACTGGGGGAAAAGTGACTTATGGCCGTTTCTCACACTTATGACCATGGAAAACATTCTCATGGTCATTGATTAAAGTTCAGACCCTGGGCAACTGGCATGTACTTATGATGGTTGCGATGTCCCAGGATCATGTGATCCCCTTTTGCGACCTTCTGATAAGCTAAGTCAACAGGGAAACCAGATTCACTTAACAAACATGAGACTGCCTTAACAACGGCCGTGATTCATTGAACAACTGTGGCAAGAAAGGTGGCAAAGTGGGGCAAAACTCACTTAGCAATATAAATTTTGGTCTCCATTGAGGTCGTACGTTGAGGACTAACCTGTAGAAGCTTCCAAAGCCATGTTTTTCAACACTTTTCAGATGGGTGGATTTCAGCTCCCAGAATTCCCCCATGGCCGACTAGGGAATTCTGGGAAATTGTCTGTGTATATAGTTCATGAACTGGAATAGACATGGCAGCAGGCCAGCCAATTGGGGACTGGCTGGAATAGACATGGCAACAGGTCAGCCAATGGGAACTGTTTGGATTAGACATGGCAACAGGTCAGCCAATGGAGACTGTTT